CTTGGTTGTGTTCATGTGCTCATGTGACCACGGTGACATGAGTCAGAGGAAGTGGGTAAAAGGTGAGATTTAGTACTAAGAGCTTTAATTACTACTACTCACTCTTTTCCGAATACAGTACGTCATGATGATAACACTTAGCAGAAACTGAAACTGATCTTAATTAGGATCTTTCATTTCATGCGAGGCAAGTTACAGAAAACCTACATCATTACATTTCAGATATTCAGCATAAATATTTGTTCACATGAGATCAATTAAGGCTTAATTTCATTATTCATACAAAGGAGCTATTTTTATTCATGTTGTGAACCCTCACTGTTCCAATAAGCCTCCTGTTTTGTTGGTCTGTCACCACAGCTGCAGCAGAACATTGGTTGGCTATACACACCAGAGATGAAAGTGAAGCATATATACAGAACCTAATTGCAATCAGGACTTAAAAGGCTGCAGCTCGGTGGAAATGGCGGAATATATATGATGTGATGAGTGCATAAATCAGAGATAGAGAAAATGCATTATGCACAGTTCAGATAAGATGGACATCATTTGTCTACTTCCATTTGGAGTCCAAGCACTCAAGGCAATTTGACTACAGTGTTTCTCTTCAGAGGGGATCCATTAGTTATTGGCAGAATAACTCGGGGGCCAATAAAACACATTGACATCAACCTTTGCATCCTATTTCCTTTCCTGTCTGAGCCCTTTCATGGTTCATGTTCTCCCATTACATTTCAGAGAGCACATCTTATTTCCGCATTCAGTGAGAATACAAGGGGCGTCTTCAAGGGGTTTTTTTGGCCGTCTCTAAAGCGAACATGAACCACATCTGGGAGTATGGGTAAAGTGTTTATGAGTGGCTTTTGGATGGTAAAAAAGAATAATTTGATGTGTCACCTTGGAGATGGCAGTTGACAGCTGTTCCATGCACAAGCTGGGTTTAATTGGCGGGGAAATTAGCCTGACCTTGACTGCGGCGGCGCGGCCGACGAGCGCTGCTGCCTGCCACTTGAAATGACATTGTTGTAATTTTCAACAGCAGCGAGCAAACACTCTGAGCATTAATTATATGGTGGAATGTGCCTTGGTGCAACAGACGCACACAGTGAATACTTATGTAAGCTGTCGCTCCAGTCTCCATAGTAACCCGCAGCATTCTAACACATGCCTCCTCCGATCTACCTCCCCTGAAGTGGGCTGTTTCCATGGAAACCAGGCAGCTGCCTTTGATGATGGCTCTCATGAAATGACACCCGCTGATAATGCTGGCTCCTCCGAGTCTCCGAGAGAGAGGATGGATGGGTGGGTGGGTGGGTGGGTGTCGGTTGATGGGGGTTGCAGAGAGAAATTATGGAGAAAGAGAAAGCGAAAGACAATTATTTCTCGCTGAAACTGAGTCACATAACCAAAGCAAAGCTTCGCCCTCGCTTTCCCAGCTGGAGCGGTTTACCTGGCTCCAAAGCAGGCAGCGACAGGAACACCGTGAACCAGATGAGGCGTAGCGGAGACAGCTCTCAGGCACATCAGGGCCGGCATGATTCACATGCCTCGTGTGGATTCATGTGTCATAAAAAAAAGTGTCATCAAATTTTTGTGCCTTGGCTGTGAGGCTAAGAGAAATGCTTCAAGAGAGGTTCATGCACCACCATCTGCTGCACTATTTTATCCATTTCTTCAAACAGATAAGTGTCAAAGTGTCAGAATACTTTCCCCCCTCTCCTCTGCATTCATGCCACTCGCACTACAATCGTTTGGCAGTGGCAATCCAACCCATATTTTCCACTGCAACTCTGTGTCAGCTTTTTGACCTTCCTGTCATATCAGAGCACTTATCATGTGTGGGAGATCCTGTTGCATCAGGAGCAAACTGTTTGTGGTTAGAAGTGACTGTTATTCATCACTGTTGTGCAACATCCTGAAATCACCAGATACCGTTCTTGGCCATCCTAACTGAAATTGGCTCTGAATTGACTCCGCCTCCTGTTTAGCTGTAAGCCGTGCAGCGTGGGTTTAGTAGGAGCAGTCTGGGTGTCAGTGGGCAGATGAAACTCTAACCTGAATGTGTGTCTCCTTGCCTGTGGGTTAAAGCAGCCTGCACGCTGCTTGCCGGGTGGAGAAAATAGCTTTGGCACCGGCAAGCAGATCAAAGTGATCAGACAAGTAATCCCCCATGAGTCAGAAGGGAAGCAGCTGGGGGGAAGGGAGATGTGTGTATGTATGTGTGTGTGCGTGTGGGGGGGAGCTTTATGCTTCTCATTTCATCACTTTCCCTTATTCAGATAGACATACAAGTGTGTATTTTTGTTTATAAGTGTTGAGATACATGAAATCCTCCTCCAGTGTTTCAATTTCATCTTCCTAACTTTGAAGTTAAAGGGTATTTTCGCTTTGACTGAATCAGAAAATCACCCTCTGAAAACTGTAATTTCCCCTCGCGAGGAAAGCCAGCTGTGTCACTACATGTCTCACTCTGAGCCAGTGCATATTTAGCAACTGCACACTCGATTCAGACACAAATCTAATGGCCCGATGAGCTTATGTTTCTGAAACTGAGACGCGCCACTCGGATAAGCCAAATGATTTAACCACAGTGACACAGACGTTACAAGTTTGTGGTAATGCATGATGGAGATCAAATGTACAGTCTCAAGAAGAAATAAAATGAAAATAGAAAGAAAAAGCATGAAAACAAAGCATGTCGGAACAAGAGCCTTAACTCGCTTAGACAAAGATGTGATTGAGTTTTAAGCTAGGCTGCATATCTTGACCACACACTCAGGGTGTTCAATCCGACTTTCATTAACGCTGTCTAGTAAAAGCAGCGCTCAGCTCTGCCCTCTTGACTGATATGTCACTGATATTTAAGATGTCGGGCTTCTCAGCGCTGTGAGATGATTGTAAACTTGTGAAGTTTTAATTGCGAGGCCGAGACACTTTCTAATAATTAAAAAAAGGTTCCTGGGAGCCCTCTCTGTCGTGCCTTTGTGTCTGGATTAGCTGGTAATGGAGAAATGTCATTAGCCAGTCGACTCACTGGGAATTTCACAAAGTGTGTGTGTGTGTGTGTTAATGTGTGACTTCAGGTCTCAGCATTTTGAGGGAAGTGTTTTGATGCTCGGTATGAGTCACATTTCCCTCAATATATCGCACTCAGTGGGTGTACTTGCCTTCCCTCAGCAACAACTAGTCAGACACTGAAGGCGGTTTAAAGCACAGGTGCAAGTGAAAGTATTATCCAGGCAGAGGCAGAGCCAGTCGGGGTAGAGTGATGTTTGTTTGGGGCTTTGTGCCAAAGAGGAAGTTGTTCTGCTCTCGAAGGCATGGTTGTGAAAATACAGTACACTCGCACAGATGGCCGCGATGAGTCACGTCACAAGGCTTCCTCTTTTTCTGCTGGATAATCCTCATCAATTAGCTCTATTGTCAGCTGGCTTTTCACACTGGTGAAATTGATGCCTGAATTCTCGACAGCAGAGAATCTGGGCCTCTTTTTCCTTTGAATGGTGACTCACCCGTCGGGGAAGAAAAATCTTTTATTGTTGGAGCTTTTCTCTTCACTGAGTTTGGATGATTTATTTAGGAACCCGCAGGCGTTCGTAGCTAAACCCTCCCACCGTGTACTGTCATGAATAAAGACTCAGTTGCATCATAGTGGTTTTCATCAGTAGAATACCAAAGGCACACCCAAAGGGGTATAAAAACTGCACTTACGGGAGAGATGGTGAACAGGCTCTTACCTGTCCTTGTCCTGCTTTTAGTGTTTGAATGAGGTTTTGTTATCTCTGTGATTGCTTTCATGGTATCAGTGACGGGAACTGGATACAGCCACATGAGATTTTCTGAGGCAGATGTGCTACTGGAAATGTTATCCCTGCCTCTAGCATAAAGACACACACACACACACACACACATACAAAAGGGATGTCATAGCTCAATGAAAAAATACTCAACAGCGGGACAGTATATCACTTCCTGTGCTAAACTTGACCTTAGAACTTAATGTGTACTACTTCTGACAGGTGTGGTATTAAAAGGTCAGAATAAAGACGCAATTAGACAGTGTCAGGAGTGAGAGAATCACAATTCTTCCCTTTTATTGTTTATTGCAAAATCTATTTATCATCTATTTACATCAAGCTACACAACTGTCTTTAAAGCCACACTAATACATATTTTTTTATCAAATCCAAATCAATGGCTATGTGTAATATGTAGTTGTACTCTCTGTAGTTCCCCTCAGCTCTAAGTGTTTTAGTGTCTTTCAGCTCATTATTTTGGTTTTACGAGCCACAACTTTCCTGTTTTGGTTTACTCTCACTGGTGTTGTTTTCAGCCGCAGCTGGTTGGTTGGTTCAGAGAAAAACCTCCGTTCACTACCTGCCCAGAACCAAACAGCAGAAAGTTAGTGACCTGCTGGTGAACGTAGTGGATTGTCTAGCCACAAAATAAAGGGAAGAGATATTTCACTCAGGAGTTAGTGAAGACCAAAACACAGAAAAACAATATTGAACTGCTAATGTTGCTCTGTGTCTTCTGGATGTGTAAATATGCTGTTTGCAAACACATTCACAGATTTTATGAGGTGATAATATGCCGATGTTGTCTTCTCAACGCACGCAAAAAGAGTTGAGGTGGTTAAAAAAGAGGAAACAGCTGATTATTAATGATTTATTTTTCTAACTGACCGAAGCTATGAGAGGAAAACTGGAATGAGGTTTGGGAGGGTGAGGCCAAATTTCAGAAGTAAGAGACTGTAGCACCTCCTTCCTCTTTGTTCATAATCAGTGTGTACAGTATTAGTAAGTCCTCATGCAGGAGGAGGTGTGTAATCCAGTGTGATTTATAGTCTGTCTCTCTGAGGCGCTGCAATGGAATCTGTGAATGGTACAAACGCATGGGTTGTTGTGGTGTGAACAACACTTACATCATGATGTAGGTAGGTGTGTGATAGAGAAGAGCTTTGCCATACAAGAAATGAGGACACTGCATCTGTTCACTGCTGAAAGTGGGACAGCTTTAATAACTTGCTGCATACATGATATCACTCTATGTTTTACACACGTTATGCTTCTCGTTTGCTACATTGTGCACAGAAGCCTTGGAAATAATCTGCAGGGCAGCGGCACGATGTTGAATTTCTGAGGGCTGTTTCTGTTGATTCAGGGGAAAATCCATTTTACAGCATGTGCAGCCAGCCAAGTGTCCAATTAGTGCTGTAAAAAAAAAAATCCTCATCGAGGCAGAATTGGAATTACATTCTGTGAATTCTGGAGCCGTCCTTGCCAAGGTCTGACACGAGGGAATCAATGACTTCACTGAAATATCAAACTGTGTCATAAATTATAGTGTTTCATTGCCTACAACCTTGATCCGCCGGAGTGAGGCAATTTCACCGTCTTTGCTGTTAAAGATGAGCCGTGGCACTCCAGCTGCACTCCTGCGGATATTCAAATAATTGCCCTCCGCTCTGTGTGAGAGAGAGAATGAATTTGAATAATGTATTGCAATGGGAGTGAGGCCACAAGGCCTCTGAGGTCGTAAATTCTGCTGCTACATCAGCTCAGCCCACGGGAACGGGAGGCACACAGGGTTGTTTATAAAATGCCCTTGGAAAAATGAGTCTAATCCCCAGCCAAACCGTAAGCCATGGGGAGAGCATTAGATAACCCACAAGCTGCAGAGTAATGAGAGTAATGAGGGAGATGGAGAAGCAGAGCCAGGACAGAGAGAATGCATCCATTTATTGGCTGTATGCTCTGATTGCCCAGACCATTTGAGACAAACTGGAGCCTGACACAGTGCTGGAGTCCATTTCGTCTGATCAGCAGCAATAAGCGCTTTCCACAGCCAGTGAGTGCTCCAGGCTGGCCGCAGCCATACATCATACACATGCACACACTGACTTTCAGACGTGACAGACCCTCAAATATCAAATTCCAACAGGAAATGTAACACTGAAGTTTCTTGGAGGGATATAACAGCACTGAAAGTCAAAACATGTTGTACTTTACACATATTGTATCGAGGAATAGAAGAATGAATTGCTCAAAATGTGCTTCGCGTCAAAACCCCACCTCTGTTTTCACACCGTTAACAACTCTATCACCCTGCTAGGTGAGTGCTAGCTGCAATGCAAATTATGCTGCCGTGATAGCTTACACATCTAACAGTGTTAGAACATGATCAGATGCTGAGAGCGATGACGCACTCGAGTTTCGGCTGCAGCCAACTTTCTTTAAAAAAACAAAAAAAAAAAAAACAAAACAAAACACAATATTTTTCTAGATGCACAAGATGAATGCACTTTCAGCATATTATTTCTCACGTTGCTTGTGGCAAAAAACCACAGTGCTACTACATCACAAGGAAGTACAGAAAAGCAAACAAAGGCTCTCACACAAACACACACACACACACACACATACAGATACACACACAGACACACACACACACACACACACACACACACACACACAGCATGACAGACCGGCCTACCAGACCAGACTACTAGTACAAAGCGAGCCCAGATTCCCCAGCTCCCCTTGATGTCTCATTAGCAGCAAAAGCCGGCTTCCTCCTGTTTAGCCAAAAATGAGAGAGGTGGGGGATGTGTGTGGGGTTTTTTGAGGGGGAATTGGGGGGTTGTCCTAAAGAGTAGTTTTGCAGAGTGCAGGTAAGCCGCAGGGCTGACTGACTGGCTGGCTGGCTGACTGCAGTGTTATTGCCTCCAGAAGGGTTCCTGTAAATGAGGGCTGCCTGCCTGCCTACCACTGCATCCCCCCAGCCTTCTTCTGGCAGCCCACCCCATAAAGCCTGGGTGACGGAGCAGGTAATAAAGGGCCTGAACGCAATGAGTCAGCACTTTAGCCTCCATTTAATTTCATCTGAATGCAGCGCTGACCCCCCTCTTCCCCCCCACACACACTCCTTATCCACCCCTACCCCTTCTGTCTCCCCATACCTCCACTCCTCTCCCTTTTCTGTCTCTGCAGTAGACTTAACCCATTCCTGCCTCCCGTGTCAGACTTAAATGACTGCATAGCGGTGCTTTTAAACCTGCAGAGCAAACACTGTCTCATGGCCGCGTGTTTCTTTATAAACTGCATCCCCGTCACTCCCCGGAAAATGGCAGTAAATCAGGACCATGTGCTTCGAATGTTTCCGTCCTTTATTGTTTTTGCTATGCAGCCTCTTAAACTTTGCCGTGCTGACAGTGAGTGTTGCTGTTGGAAAGGCAGAGGCGGGGGCTTGAGAGGGAATGTAGGCCACACATTCCTTTCCTAGGAACAGTCTGAACACAAGCAAACACTGCTGCACAATCAGACCAGGATTTCCGCCATTCCACAGCGTGGTCCAGACTGTTTGAGTTTTCCTCTCACTTCGCACGAATCCCCGGCTCAACTCCCTCGCTGATGCTTGCAAGCTCCCAGTCTTGCATGACGTGCAACTTTCCATCTCTAAAACAGATCCATCTCCTTCCATTAGAACGACTGCCTAGCTCTTGCTGTTTGTTGTGCATCTGAGTGATACATCTTTCCAGACCGGATGCTGTTCAAAATGTGTGTCACACCTAAATATGCATACTCAGTCAAACCTGCAGGGTTTGTTTTTACCTCCAACATCCTGCACCTACAGTTTGCAGATACTTTTACAATGTGGGTTTGTTCTAGTTCCAGTTTTAACTCTGTATAACACTTTTGTCATCCAATGCCTAATTATGGTTTGTCCCTGTGCTGTCCCCTCTTCTGCTCCACTGGGCTGTCTCATTTTTAGTGATTGTTTGTACTCTTTCCTGGGAAGGAGTTATGACATTGTCCAGACCTCCTCTCTCCCTCCTCTCTTCCCACTTCTCCACCTCCCATGATAACTCTCTCTTTCTTTTTCTGACTCCCTCTCTTCTTCCTCCTCCCTGTTTCCAACTCTCTGCCTTTGTGTCTCATGCAGCTGCAGTACAATAACAGTGTTTGAGTGCAATAGTCCAGACAGGACTTTGGTTTAAATAAGCACCCCCGGGGCCACGTAATAACCCAGCAACCCCTTGTCCCAGTCTCCCAGTCAGTCCCTCAGCACTGGGGCCAGCTCCACAACACATTCCTCCTCGTGCACCCTGCCAGCCGTTCAGCCAGCCAGGCAGCAAAACCACCATAGGAAAAATACAGAGCATGGAACTGTGATTCACAGCCCTGATATAGAATATCACCTCCTCCCTTCTCCCCAGTCCAACAGCTGGTTTCCTGGAAGCAGACTTGTGCGGTGGGAGTTCGGGCCGGCGAGGGAAGAGGAGGTGGAATCGAGGAGGCCCGGATTCTGCTCCTTCAAAGGCCTCTCTGTTCACATCTGCAGCTCCCCGCCTCAATGTTGCAATGTCTTCATGAGCAGCCTGTGTTTATGTGAAGGGGGAAAACATGCATTATATTAAGGCAGGGTTTGACGTAATGCAGGTTATCTCATAATGACATCAGTGGAGGTCTTGGTTTTCCCATGCTAAACGTCCCTCCATGTTTGGAGGTTAAGAGGTGAAGTGGAGGTGGGAGGGTTTCTTTCTCCAGCTGTCAGAGATAGATGGCTTGTGCCTCAGAGAGATTCGTACTTTCGGATGCCTGTATTGTTGGTGATCTGGGAATTATTAGCTTATCACTGAATAAGACCATCAACTAAATGTCTAAACTGTCAATTTAATTGTTAGCGTCTGACCGTGACAATACATCCCTCTGTAACAATAAACCTCAATTTATCCAAACCCCTCAGGGATCGATGTCATCCATGACAATAAAATAATCGTTTAGCTTAAAACGTGCCACATTTTCCCTGTGATGCACGCTTTAAATAGTGTTCCTCTGCATATTTTACATTTGCAAGTAGAGTACCCTTAACCTACTTTAGTGAGCATGTCAAGTCATATGTCTGTGCAGCCTTTCCTGTCTACACAATGACCTTCGAGTAGAGGAGAAGAATAGGAGCAGGACTCACTTCCCTCCTGTGCATGAACAGCCTAATTTAGGAAAGCGTGTCAGTGTGAACCTTTGTCACATTGCCGGGCTCAGAATACCCATTGTTCCCTTGATAGAGTCATTCCACTTAGAAAAGGCTTTTAAGAGAGCAGAGAATATCCTGCATCCTGCGCCCGCACAGACACATCTGCATTTGTATGCATGCACCCGGCAAATTAGTGCACACATACTGGCGGGACCACTCGCTTACACCCGCACACACGTGCATGATATAGGGAGATTACGAATGGAAGTAGGCTAGCATGAGATCATGCATGCTCTGGCTCATTAGGTACATTTAATATAGTCTGCCTGGAAAGCCATCTGTTCCATGCGGCTGGTGCCAGATATGATGTGATACTGGCAGCCATGGTTGTTCCTGTTTACCATTTTGAAAGACGGTTGTTATGTGTTGTTAGGCTAGACTATAGTCTTAAAAAATCCTCTCATAAAAAGGTTCAGTAATAAACCCAAGGGCTCTATCCACCCAAACAATGAACCCTTTGCCATAAAAAGTACATATATAATATTAGATTTGTACAGAACTTTCGGGAGTTACCCGAGGCCTGTACGTTAACAAGAGCCGGTTAGATGACTTAGCATAAAGACTGGAAACACGGGTAAACATCTGGTTCTGTCCAAAGGTAACAAAATGCACCTAGCAGCACCCCTAAAGCTCACTTATTAACATGTTATGTCTTGTTTGTTGCCTAGCCAAGAAATACTGAGGGCTAGCTGTTCCCTGTTTCCAGTCTTTATGCCAAGTTAAACTAACTGTGGGCTCCAGCTACAAATCGAGAGCGTTATCAATCTCCTCATCAAACTTTATGCAAAAAGCAAATAACCGCATTTCCCAAAATGTCAAACTATTCCTTTGAAAGGTTCTTTGCCTTTCTGGCTAGTGGAGAGTAGAGCTACAGTGCCATAAGCAGTCTGTACTAAACCTTATTTAGGATAAACCAGGTTTGGTAGCACGCTTTTTTATTTAGACATTTCTGCTCTTTTAGCATAAGCGCCGCAAAAAAAGGTGTTTTAATTGAATTATTCTCAAACGGCGAAACTGTAGCCAATTAGGTAACCCGCTAACTGCTTCAAGCTTCCTGTAGCATAATTTAAATAACATGTGTGGGTACCCAAGCACAATATGGTAAGTATTGCACTGTAGAAAGTGTGCCTTCTCTCAGATAATTTATTTCAAGAAAGTAGCTTGGGTAACATTGATGCTATTTGCCATACAGGTAAAGGATGCATGCTATGTGGGTTATCTCTCTTTTTACTAGTTACTACTTTACTAAAAAACCTTTAAAATGAGGTGTATTCGGCTAACTCTGCTTAAAAATATGGACTATAAATATGTAAATAAGACCTGGCTACCCTCTAAGGTATATTCTATATTCTCCCAGAAATACCAAATGAGATTTAAATGTCATCAGAGTTTGTTCGGTGTATCAGGAGGTGCTTCGTATCTCTGCCCGTATGTCTGTATTTTTGTGGCTGTATGTGTCACTGCAGCAGGATATGTGTGCCTGCGTGTGAATCCGCAGAGACACAAAGCCCCCATGCCTCTTTGCAGTTGCCAGCAACCCCCACCCCCGCCTCTTCTCGTCTCTGGCTGGGAAGGTCTTGGGGATTAACTTTCCACTTCTCTGATCCACTTTTCCACAGAGCCAATAGCTATGCAGGTCTGGAAATGTGTTATGTGGCTGGGTGAGACAAAAATCAAGGCCAATTCCAAAATAATTTATGACCCCTGCCTCAAGGTTATTTCTGTTCCTTACCTTTGCTGCCTATTCATTTCGATGACATCATCTCCATTATGAATATTGCCGTAAACAAGGACATCGTCTACATTCAGAGGACATTTATTATAGTACAGAAAACGTGATTTTTGCCTCACAAATTGCACTTGTCCAATGTAGGTTTCTCACTCTTAGCTGCATTAAAATTCATCTGCTATTTATTACATAAGCTTGTTTTGCATATTTCCATTAGGTTTTTGTGTTCACGCTCCCTTCCAAATCACAGTAATTGCTTCCTCCTCTTGCCTTTTTGAGTCTGAAGAGATTACGCTCTGCAGCTGCAAATGATTGTTTTACAATTGGACGGGGAAGCCAAAATTAGGATGTGTGAATACGTAGTGACAAAACTGAAGTTTCATACTATAATTTCACCTCCAGCTACCGCAGCCCTTAATGCACTGTGGTTTATTAGCACAGTATAGCTCCGATTTCAGGGAGCACTGTAAGATTTCAGCAGAGCGTCATTCAAACCGCAGGGTAGAGATATAAAATGGGTGAGTCCTTTAGGAGACGGGAATGAAAGCCTCCATCAAGGCAGCCAGGGAGGAGGGAGCTGAGGTATTCCTTTGAAGTGGGTGGCTCAGATATTAAATAATTGAGTTGCAGGAGATTAAAGTTTCAGAAGCTAATTTGGCCCCCTCCACGGCCTGTCACTCTGGGGCTCGAAGAGTCTGCAGCCTGCAGACGACTGGTGAATAAGTGTGACTCACTTCCTGTGTGTGGCTCGGCTGGAGAAACCCTATATCTGTGGCAGACTGAAACAGGAAGTTCATCCAGGGCACACTCTGTGTCTCTGACTCAGAGCGAGGGTGACGCCATTTTTGCTGTCCGAGTTTTCAGGAATTCAAGCCTCCATGTGCTCGAGCAACAAAGAGGCACAGAGAGGTTTCACTTCCCCTCCTTCTTTTTCCTCATAAACACTCACCATAGTTGCTGACAGCTGAACTGTTATGTGGAAAGAAGTTCGTTTGCTGATGCAAGAGGAATACGTTGCTTGTGTAAGCCTGGATTTTAGTGTTATTTAGATGGGAGGGTTTCAGTTTCAGTCACTGCGTGCTGATGGGGAGGCTGAACAGCCTGGAGGTGAAAGCTGCGTTATTTTCGTCTGGAATGTGCCTCTCAGCTGACATTGAAACCTAATTTTCAAGCACCTTGAGGATGACACTGCCCAAGTCGTAAAGTAATTGATATGTATGAGGGCATATAAACACAAGCGCATTGTCTTTGAGGACAAACAACAGACTCTGTTGAAGGAGGTGTAAGGACATGATGGTGAATTACCTGGTTTCTTTTTCTGCCTCTGTGTGACTTATGCTGGTGCGGCGGCACCACAGTGGGCCAGAAGTGTTCCACAATGACTCAAACCCCTGTGGCGATAATAAAAAAGAACAACTCCATCTTCCTGCAGCTATAGATTGGCTGGATAACGCCCCGTGTAAGGGGGCTGTAGATTTGTTTTCCCAAGTCTTTAACCTTGCAAAGATGTCAAGATGAATCAGACTTACAGTAGATGTGGCCCAGCTGAGGCCTGAACTGTCTCCGTGGCTTTGAAATATGAGACTCAAACGTCTGGTTCTGCTGCTCTCCCCGTGGCCCTGAGCTCACACAGTCTGAGCTCTTTTGTTTACAATTCCTCTTTGGAATTTTTTTTTATTTAACGAAGCAAATATGCGGTACCTTCTCACATTGTATATTCAAATCTCTTCCTGTGACATCATGTTAGTTCAGCAAGCCGGCGTTAACACCTACAGCATCCTACCCCTGGACTATTTGTATTGCTCAGTGTAACGCTCCTGTCACCTGAGCCAATAAAATGTTTTGACTGTCAAGGGTCAGAGTTAGCTCAGGGCGGTGTTGCTATGTTGCGGGGAAAAACAGGCCTCCTGTTGTCATGCGGACCAGAGGGCTGCTGCGATGGAAAGCCAAAGCCCCGCGGTGAGATCAGTTTATGGAGGAGGACTATGTTTAAGAATGAGCCCCTGCGGGCTGTTTACACCGTGCTGAACCAGCATTACTCTCGTTTAGCTGGAGGAAAAAACAAATAAAGCTTATAAACTGAAACTAAAAAACACATTATTACTGCTGTCCTGCTGTATTATTCCTGGTTGCTGTCAGTTGCATCATACACTAAACAAACTACATGTCGTATTGTATTAGGTGTGTTCGCAATCTGACAAAATATGCTGCAAAATGTGTACATTTACAACATTTTCCTTGTTGTTAAAACCTTTTTTTTTTTAGATTGTAGGAGATGTTCTGGTGTGTGTGTGAAGAGCTGTTGATATCTGAGTGTTTGTGTTTGGTGCAACATTCTGTCAAAACAACAACAACATTTTAGCAACTCATGTTATCTCAAATCAATTATTTGCAGAAATGAGTTGCTGCATTGGCACTTCACTTGTCCATTTTGGCTTTTTTTCAAGAAATATATTCAGACTAAATAACTGCTGATGTTGAAAGATTTTTTTTTATAACAAGGCTCTACTAATATTTAACATTAAAGGCCTAATATCAGTGCCATATATACAAGATGGTTTGCCTTTTAAATGCTTTCATGAAAAGGAATATGGATGAAAAAATTCACACAAACACAGAAGGAACTGGCAAATTGTCCCAGACATTTATTTGTTTTCTGTCCAAAATTTTTACAACAGCCACTGATGAAACAGAAGAGCTGTCTAATATCAGTCACCAAGGGAACGTCAACATCATCTCCAGATAAACACAAAGTATTATGACTAAAACAACAACACCAACAACAAACACAGGGGTAGCCTTCAGCGGGGAGCCACGGCCCCTCACCTGCACCCCCCTTCTGTTCATATTAGTCCAACCTAAAAAACTTCACTGTGCCTCACAACAAACCAGCCAGAGGGCTTTGGTGGTGTTCACAGCAAGGCACTTAAAACTACCTCTGTCACTTTACCTCTCGCTTGTACTCCACTGAGATAATGTCTTCACTGCCTCGAGGTATGATCTGGAGGATGAACCCTACAAATGAAAGAGAACAGTGTGACGACAGGTGAAAAAAAGAGGAGAGCAAACACGACCTGGTGGGGAGTTTTTAGTTGTGGCAGCTAAACAAAAGGCCCACAGCAACGTAGATCCCTCCCTCCTCTGGTATGGTGGCTAGGCATGCTGGAGCTCTGTCTGCGTCTGTGCTCCTGTGCAGACTAGCTCCGCTTTAGCTACAGGCTAGGAGGGAGGAACGGTGGGCAGGGTGTGTCTGCTTACCATGGAAGCAGGTGGGCATATGGCACTCAGAGGTGAAGGGGAGGGAGGGAGGTAGAGCAGGTGGTGTAGTGCCACTGGCCCGCCTCCAGGTTGATATGATGCAGCCGCTGACGAAATCACGCAGGCATGTTGCGTAGCCAGTCACCTTTTCAACAGAAGAGACAAAGGCATGTGATCACAGAGGGCTGATATTGTCCTAATGCATCCTTTCAGAGCTCTTCTGTGTTACAGGCGAGTGCGTTTTTCTTTAGGGTCTTTCTCAGAAAAACATATGTAACATTTGTGCAGCCAACCGTTCCCCTTAGCTTTAATATTCATCAGTGGTGGAAGAAGTATTTACATCCTTTACTTACAATACCACAAATAGATGCATTTCAAGTCTATTCAGCAAAATGTACTTAAAGGATCAAAAGTTAAAGACCTTATCATATAGAAAACAGCCCCAGCCATTTAAATATCATTATATATGACATTATATTCGAATGCATCATTACATAAGTAGAACTTTACTGTCCTCGCTTCTCTTTAGTCCACTGGTTCTCGGCCTTGGGCTCTGGCTCCAATTGGTCATCTGAGGAGTCGTGATAACATAATAATAAACTTAATTTCCATAGCACTTTTCAGACCAAAGTTAAAAAGTGGTTTACAGAGACAAGAAAAAAACAAAAATAATGAGGGAAGAAAGAAAAAGGTTATGTAATAAAGATTTTCTACTCATTTGTTCAACTTTTTTTTGTGAAATATTGGATCATTTTACCTGTTAAAGAATTATACAATTATTTAAATAAAGCCATCTGTTTAGAGAAGAAATGTCTCCATGGTGGGAAATAAACACATTTTAAAAGAGCCTCAGTCAGACACAAACAAAAAGGGTTGGGAACCATTGGTTTTATCTTGAATTTATTCCTGAGCGTATTTTATAAGTAAAATCTTAATGTTAAAAGTAACTAAAGTATTAAATATGTGTCAATATATATAAAAGTACAGTATTTGCGTATTGTGACATGTAGTGGAGTAGAGGTATAAAGTAGTATATTGCAGTACATTGTAAACTTACTTAGTTACTTTCCACCACTTTAAGAACACTGTGTATTTTTCGAGGCGATGCTTCCCTCTTGGTCACTTTACGAGATATTGGTTTTTTCCAGAGGTTGTCCCAGATATCTGGCAATGTTTTATCTAGGCCAGCTCCACAGCAGGGTAGCCAAGGGGAAACCAAGGAGCCAAGTTAACTAGTTCATGTCACTCATCAACTTATTTTAACAGATATAGGTTGCATTTACTGTGAAAAAAAATAAGGCAGCTACTTCCACGAAGTGAGTTTCTAGATAAAAAACCCCTCGTGACCTGTTTTAAATGACACATTCTCACATCCCAGAACAATCTTTCTGACACTGAGAAGCTTTATATAAACACTATATGTATGTGTATGTATGTGTAATTACTTTTTTCCATTGCGTTTGCTAGGTCAAGAAAACCGAAGAGAATGAAGTTCAGGCTGGGGCTAAACAAAGCAGCCGCTGTCACAAGCCATCAAATTCTAATAAGGCATAACCTAGTCCTGGGTGGGCGAGGGAAGCCACTGTTTTTCTGCTATTTCCATTTATAGACTGCACCAACGAGCCCCCTGGGAGATTGCTTGCCATGACTCATGTCTCCAGTGCTTCTAGTCCAGACTGCACTCTCTCCCTCCTTCATCATCCCTGAGCACCACTGCCCTTTTTCTACCCCAGCAAATCACTTTGTGTTTATCTCACCTTTTCTTATTTTTCATTATTTTCCTCTGTACTTCTCTGCCTGGACTTTCATTCATGCAAGATAAAGCCTTGTAAGTCCCGACAGAGGGCGTGAAAAAGAGGGAAAGAGAGGAGGGAATCAATGGGAGGAGTAAAAGACCAGCCACCGTAGCTGATGATGAAAGCGATAAGCAGGCTGAATCAGTCCCATGTAAATAGTTGCTACAGTACAGACGGCGGCCATTTCCCAGAACTGTTGTTGTGGTGGTGAAACGGCAGCGTCAATATGGGGGGATGTCTCTGTCTGCCTTTCCCAGCACAGCAGCCTGCAGGCTTTTCACCATCACGTGGTCTGCTTGTCCTCTCCCTCCCCTTCCTCCCCCCTCTCTTTGGTTATATTCCAGTCACGGCACCCCCACCCCCACCACTGACACCCCTCTCTTCCTCCACCCCACCCACCCCGCCCCTCTGTGCTCTGTCAGGTCACCCGCCTTGTTTGTTCAGATGGAACAGAAGAGGAAATGAAAGCCAGAGTCCACTGTTAACCCATTCCTGGGACTTTCCTGCACTATTGTGTGCATTCCTGCTGTTTTTCACCTCGCTGTTTCCATGCTTTGATGGTGAATTGTTTCTATATCGGGAGGCAGTAACCATGCTAGTTACTAAAAAATAACCTGCACAGAGGATTCGTCTAAAAATAAAAGCAAATCTCAGCTGCTCCAAATACGACACGGTGGGAAAAAAAACTGCAGCATAGTTGCAGATAATAACTGTGGTCTACTTAATGTGCAGCTTGGGATATTCATGCATGTATGACTTCACTGGAAAAATGCTGTGTCAGATAATGCTTGAATTTATACCCCTCTCTTATTGTGCTTCACACTTTCTCAAATGCATATGACCTGCCGTGTATATACACTGTAATTGTGTGTGAGTGTATGTGTGAGCTTGTGCTCATGCTCAAGTTTATCGTCCAGTCTGCCACGTTCTTGCTTGGTTACTATGCAACCAGGTCAGAACAACATGGACACCACAGTAGCTGAATGGCCATTTTGGGTAAAAGCTCTCTGCAATAATAAACAGCTTCTGGCACCGAGAAGTTGTTTTCCAGCTGCAGATCGGTGCCAAAATACAGAATTAACTGCAATACCATTTACTGCTGTGGAAAAACATCAGCCGTCCAAACCCACATACCTACAGAGGCTTTGAACAGCTTGTAATCCCTCAGCAGCTAGATGGCTCTCTGAAACACGCCAGCTCAGGATGCTGCCAAATAAATTACTGCACAGTTATAGTGTTACGTTCGTATAAACTAAAGTGTTTCGCTCTGTCGGAGAGAGTTTTTCAGGGCTCAGAAAATGAATTTTGTGATCTTAAATTGTTGCTTTTTATTTCAACCTGGCCACAGCTGGCTATTGTGTTTGCTGGGAACCCGGAGATGTCTTTACATGGAGAAGATAAGCCTTAGAAGCAAGAAACAGCTGCCTTGGATTTTTACAATGGTTGGAGCAGGAATTCTTCATGCTTATTCTGAAGCGGTGCCAAAGATATTTGGAGTGATTTGAGGGGAGATCAACTGAACTTTACCCTCTCTCAGAGGACGGGAAGAGAAACAAGAGAAACTGTTGCTGGCAGAATCTGTGAAGCTCAAATGAATTTAAAATTACACAAAGTGAGGCTGTACGGTCAAACATTACCGTCCTGTGGGTTGCTCATTTTATCTTAATCCACCACTTACGTCCTGCCAATTATCTCTTATTGACTTGAATTAGTGAGAGCACATGTGAGCACAAACTGTCGTGGCTACAGTTTGTGCTGAGTTGTGACTATAAGGGCCGTGCTGTGTTAGCCTTGCGCTGACATGTCATCATCATGGCCTCCATGACCACTATGCTAGGTTTCTTAGAATTGCTGGGAACACGACTATTTTCCCTGGCAGTGAGCCACGTTAAACAGATCCGTCACAGAGTGTGTTTTGTAATTGAGTCAAATAAACAGGATAAGCTGGCTGGTAAACAGTGGAAGGAGGGCAGGGCATCGCAGGAGATTTCAAGCGACTCGGGTGCCGCTCCACACTCGTCGTCAACGTCAAGGTTGTGTAGGTCAGTGACTCTGCTGTCAGTGGCCCTGTGCACTTGTACTGTAATGTACACAAGCTGAACAAGCAGTTCATTTCATACACACACATGCACATTTCTGAGAATTGCCAATAGTAGTTGTTTATACAAAAACATGTAGCTTGTTTCATTACGCTACTAATAAATTCTGTAGCCTGAGACAACTTTTAAACAGTAGCAAGGGTGTTACAACCCAAAACAATAGTAAATGTTATTCGCTTTAATGTCAGAGTACAGAGTGCAGAGGAAACAGTTGGCTTAAGCTTAAGGTCAGGAAAGAAGGGGAAAAAAGGCTCTCTCCACAAATACACTAATAAGTAGTTGTAGCATATAATTTCCACAAATAAAACCACAAATTGTTGTTTTTCCATTTCTGTCTGTGTACAGATTAAACAAATTAGATGCATGTTAATTTGAAAACTTCAGACTTGTTTCTAGGTATATTTTTTCACTGAAGGGAGAGCCAGGCTAGCTGTTTCCCCCAGTAGTCCAGTTCCATACTTACACCCACAGACATGAGGGTGGAATCAATCTTCTCATCGAACTCTTAACAAGAAAGGAAATAATTCCCAGTTTGTCCAACTATCCCTTTTATAAAATGTGGAACAGAGGACGTAAATCTTTTTCCTGTTCAGTACAGTACAGGTGGAATAACAGTAGGGATGCACTGACACTGACACCAGTATCAGGTCCATAATCATAAAACCACTCCAATACCATTTTATGGCTGCATGGCGTTACGTGACCTCCCGTTAGTTGAGCAGGTAGATGGAGGAGAAGCAATTTCAGCAGTTTGGAGATATTTTAAGCAGCTTTTACAACATTAGAAACATTTATTTTGTTACAGTCAGAAAGTGAGGAACATCTGAAGGAAAAAAAATTCTTGTAATTGTATTTGGCCTGAATAAAAAGGTGATATCAGTGAATCCCTAATTTACAGTATATTGTAAATGCTAGTATTTATCCACAGTAATAGGGCAGGTAGTCTGGCTCACTTTAGTTACCTTAAAATAATATCATATGATGATTAGCTGCTAATTTTCAGGTTCCTGACTGCAGTTTATCCCAGTAAACATCTTTTAGAGGGACACTGAAGGTGCATGTTGACCTCCAGTTGAGCTAATAATTATTTTAGCTCAAGTCAGATCTTTAAAATTGTTGATGAGTACTCTGAGTTCTCGTCCCTGTTAGTATTTAATTTATCCCTACTGTTGTCTTTGAGGTGCCAGCTGCTGACTTTTAAGTTAGTTGAAAGTATATTAGAGAAGTGAAATCCTGTGATCTTACTGGACAGAATGGAAGGGGTCAAAGGTCACGATCCAGCCTGAGGACACAGAGAAGGTCACCTTTCTGATGTGTGGATAAATACATGATGCTATTGTGCCCTGGGCTGAATCCAGGCAGGATTTCAACTTGCAGCCGTCCCTCCCACTCTGTGATCAGTGGGCCTGGGCTGTTGTGACTGGGCCAGTCTGACAGATAGACCATGATGAGAGTCAAGGCTGAAAGCCAGGCTCTGTGACTGCGGGGCCAGGCCAGGCCAGGGATGACGCAGGCCAAGGGAAACAGAGAGCACTGTGGACAGCCCTGGCCCCGGCCCTGGGGCCCCCCCGGCCCCTCCTGTGCCTCGGAGCACTTCCTGCCTCTGTCATTCTACCAGCAAATCCAATCCCTGATCAAAGGCCAAGGAGAAAAAAGGGGAAGAGAAGAGAGAGGAGACAGAGAAGTGAAAAGGGCGAGAGAGATTGACGTGCGTGTTGGGGGGGAAAAGGGAGAAAACAACAAACCGCTCTTTATCTGACAGGGGAGGCAGCTGCTCGGGCCGGGGCACCTGTGTGCCTGCTGCCTCCCAGGCCGACGCCAAGCTCCGCCCTAGTGCCCGCCAGTGCCAGACCCATGAAAGGTTGCCATGGCAACACCCCTGGCCCACAGTCTGAAATAAACAACCTTTCAACCTCATCTGAGGAGAGTAACCTTTAGATGATCTGTGGCCAGGCTGAGGTTGTGCTGGCACCACAGACACGACTAATTACGTCTCTGCCAAGTTCAGATTGTACCTGTTTTATGTGTAAATATCTGTTTGTGGAAAATTAAAATGAGAAGTGCTCAATTTCAGAAGGCAAAAGAGCGTACCCACCTGTTCCTGCGACTGCCCGAGGCAACACAGAAATCCTGCAGGACCCAGGCAGCACCATTGTTTCAGGGCAATTACCCTGGCCAGATTAAAAATCAACTATCATTGAGCAGATGTCCTGGCTCTTTCTCCCAGCACAGAGGAAGGAAGAGGAGGGGGGGGGGGTCTTATTACATCTCACCAGGCAGGGTATGGACAGTGGAACCCTTTCCTTAGGATTGGATATGTCCTCTCTGTTTAGAGTCTACACACACACACACACACACACATACATACACACTCACCGGTGTAGAGGACAAGGCTTGTGGTTCTAAGCAGAAGTGACATCCCATTCATTTGAGCTGGTCAGGGTCTGATGTCCCCCATCTTATCTTACAAGGCTTAGGGCTGTGAAATGACATTGGCCCGGCTCCAGCAAAGACCAATGCAGTGGCTAGCATCTCTGAAGCAGGCTCACTCTGTACCGCACACACACACACACGGCGACACATGGCTGTCTGTCTGCAGCTTAATACTGTGTTATGGTTAAATGCCGCCATTCAGTATCATTTCACAGCTGTTAATGTTCCGAAGCGGTCACTGTCTGTCATTTCTAAAAATACCCCTGACAAGAGCTCACTAATTGATGTCAAATGTGAGGCTGAACTTGTCAAGTAATATGAGCTGATTGCTTCATAGATTGGTGCTATGAAATTGTACACTTCAAATGTTAACTTGATAAAGTCTGCATCATGAATATAAAACAGGCTGAGATTCAGTCACGAGCTCACGAGTGTGAAAAATATTTTACTAAAAATCCCAAATCGAATTTGCCTGAATATGTTAACTCTGGTGTGTTTTCGCAGCTCTTGGTGCTGGTGGTCACTTGCCGGCAATGATGCAGCAGCATGAGGAGACGGTTGCCATGGCAAACACACTCACAGGAGGAAGAATCCTTTGTGTGCAGGACTTGTGACATAATTGCCTTCATTAATTTTCCTGTTGGGAACAATAAACGATGTGCAAATATATACAAACAGACAAACAAATAATTTTCTTGGAAGCACTGTAGAAGCAAGCTGATTCAGACTTGTACAGTATGTGAGCAATCAC